AGCAAATGCAATCCTTCACCAGGAGGTTCAGCCACCAGTTTCACAAGTTTCCTCTGTTTGTATTTAAAGGCTATTTTCCTCCTCTATTTGTATTTAAATTTGTATTATTCTGCTGTTGCAGAATATCATTTCCTTAATGGATCTGTTTTCACAGACCATTTAGCATCATTTGTTCTGTGTCAACATTGTCCTTTCATTTAGTTTCCCCCACCCAGCGTCCCCTCCTGACCTCTGGCCACCCATCACCCAGTCCATTCACAGACAGCAATTACACCTCCTGCAAGCTGAGTGCCACCGCACCAAGCCAGCTCAGCCCTGTCCCATCACGGCCATCTGTGGCTGGCTGGTACTGAAATGAGAGGCAAGCCTGCTGTTTCCAGCACTTGCCCAGCTAGTGCAAGGCTCCAGGCCCTGAGTGTGCCGTCCTACCCATCACCGCAGTCACAGAATAGTTAGGGTTGGAAAGGACCTTAAGATCACCTAGTTCCAACCCCCCTGCCACGGGCAGGGACACCTCACACTGAACCATGTCACCCAAGGCTCTGTCCTACCTGGCCTTGAACACCGCCAGTCCTCAGGCAACCGGTGGCTCCTCACATCTCAGCAGGTCCACCCAGCTCTGGCACCGGGGCTGCCCACATGTTCCCACTCTTGCACCGAAGCCATTTAAAGACAACAGAAGGCTTCCCAGAGCCCCGGCTGGAGCAAGGGGAGAGCTGCCTGCAGCCTGATGGTCTGACACCTCATCTGGCCAAGCGCACCTGCACCCCACACCTTCCCCCATACCTGCTGCCCCAGTGTGGTGACAGACCACAGGCACAGCCAATCAGGAGCGGAGCTGCTGGTGCCCCAGCCAATGGGATGAGGAAGAGCCAGGGTGGGCAGAGCGAGCTTGCTTGTGAGGTGGTGTGGTGGTGTCTGTGGCGGCAGGCCCTGGTGCCCATATTGATTGTGTCAATCACCCATGGAGCCCATGCTGCTGGGACCCCCCAGCACCGCCACTGACAGGGCAGGTCCACCCTGCCCTGACCAGGTTTCCTGCCTGCGGAGCTGGGGATCGGCCCGGCACGAGGGCGCCAGGCCCCGTGTGGTGGCACAGACACAGCACTGTCCCACCAAGTGCCAGGACGGGGCTCCGGCAGAGTGCTTCAAAGGAGAAGCTCATCCCTAGAAGAAAAAGAAGTGCTTGCAGCTGCCCCAGGAATGAATGGCTGGGACACAATCCAGCACAAAGGCAAGCCATACTGCAGCTCTTAGAAAACACAAAGGAGAAAACAAAAATGCCCCATGCAAGTAAGGTAATAAAAGACCACAAGTAACAGCTACCATGGAGAGAAGCACATGTGTTAATCACAGCTGACTTGGAAGGTAACTGGAGTCATCAACTTTAAATGCACCGAGATGACAGAACATGGGTTGTGAGCATATAGGGCGCAAACCATGGTGCAATTGTCTGGAACAAACCCCAGTGTAGTGCGGCTAGATAAACGGTGTCATTCAGTCCTACAAGGCCACGGGTGCTCACTCCCCTACCCAGGCTGCTGCAGTCACCCGTGCCCATGTGCCTGGGGCTGACGGTGTGTTCCACACTGGAAAGTGAGCAGCACCAAGGGTCTGAGGGAGGTGAGCCCACCTGCACCAGCCTGCAGAGACTGCAGCTTTACCCTGGCTGGGCACAGTCCCCACCACAAAGAGGGAGGGGCTGTACGTGGCCCTCTTCCATTAAGAGTTTTACCTTTTACAGTCCCCTGAATGCTGAACTGGGACGTGTGGTGCTGCCCCAAGGCAGCCCTGGAAATGAAAGACCTGGGAAGTCTTTCAGCTGCTACAAACTCACAAGGCTTCAGGGGTTCCTTCAGGTCTCCCATCCGTGTAAAGCCACAGAGACTCATCCTATGAGATTTTAGTGAGTGCTCTTGCTCCTCTGTCTGACTTACGCTGTCACCGTGTGCAGCCATGAAGCTATCTCAGCTTTCGACAAGACTCTGCCATTCCAGTTTCTTGTGTATTTTACATCAAAGGCTTTGGGATCTTTTCTTCTTTCTTGTCTTTACAAATGTGTGCGTATCTGCTGGGTGAATGTTGGTTTCATAATTGATGGACATGGTCTTGGCAATCTCCTTTTTAAGAGCCATTCCTTGTCACATAAATATCATCTATCAGTGCCCGTTGTCTTTATAGCGATCTTGAGCAAACAGTTTTATTTCCAATCAGGACATCACACATTGATCTAAACACTCATCTGTAATGGATCAATTTACATTAGGAGAGCACTATTGTAGCATCGCTGTTCATTATATTGAAAGAAGTATATGTTTAGTTACAGGCTAAAATCAATTAAACAGCCCTGTGCCTTTTGCTGTGAGAGAGTCAACAAGCCAGTCTGTCTTGGACAATTACCCAGCTACAGCTCCTTAAAAAAAGGCCCTCCAACACAACCCCCATCCTCTTGAGCTCAGTTTCTCCTTTAGAGATGACTTCTGCAATGTTTTGCTTGTGCAGTCTGGTAAAACTCTCAGCTAAAACGCACACAGGAGAAAGGAAGGCAGTCTTGCTGCTGCTGTTGTGGAGGAGGCTTTCTCTGGGCCACACAGAGTCCTGTATTCAAAAGGGAAACGCACTTGCACAAGAAGGCTGCCCGACAACACGTGATGGTGTATGGGGGAGATGCTGAAAAATGTAGACAATGCTGTTTGTGTCTTCATGGGTGAGGTTGTTAGCTCCAAGTAGCCCTGATTTCAGGGAAGGAGAAACAGAGGAATTGGGAGGCAGGGAGGAATCTGTACATTGCTCTGCTGTTTCTTGCCTTACTGCAAGAAAGGAGACAGCAAAGAGTGCTGAAGGCTCTCTGACAAAGGGAATGTGATTTCAACTGATATAGCTGCAGGGAGAGTAGGAACCTGCAATTTCAAAAGCAAAACACATAGGGGAACTACAGGGCAATGCAATGATGGGATTTGAGGAGCATATCTCTTGGGGTTCTGATGGATGCAGCAGTGGCAGATTACCTCAGCCTCAGCCAGAGGTCAGTGTGCTCAGTGGCAGAAGGGTCAGTGTACTTATGGCCTGTCTGCCATGCGCTGCCGCGGCAGCAGGGCCAGTGAGCAGCTGTGCTCTGGTTACCATGCCTGGTTACCAACTGGCCCCTACTGGTCTCAGCCTGATGGAAGCAACTGGCTGAGCCCATGGGCTACAGAGAGCCCATGGCCATTGCAGCAGCACTGGAGAGGCCAGGCCAGGCTCGATACTGCCACACTAGGTGTGGCTTTTCTTTGTGCCAAACCTCTGATAAATAGGTAAAAGTTACCAGCAGGGGTAGGCTCTTACTTTGTGGTAAGAAACCCCTCATGACCTGCTGTACCTGTGCTGTAGATAATTTGTACAGCCTTCCTGGTTTATATGTGTATGTGTATGCATATGCATATATGGTGTTTTGGGTTGACACTTTGCTTACTCCTTCTCTACCATTCAGGCTCTTCCAGCCCTTGTCTTACTCTTTCATTACATGCACAAAACACTGCTGCTAATAATAATAATGAGAAGGAAGGAATAGCAGATATTACAAAGCTTATTAAGAAATTGATCTTTATTTTGCTCTTGAATAAAGAGGCAGACCTCAAAACTGCTGAAGCCATTCAGCTAATTGGTTATTGGCTCTCCTGAGTGATTATATCCACCCTGGTTCCACCAAGTTCAGCAGGTCTCATGCTGGTCAATTAGCCTTTGGCATTCAGAAAGGCAAATACTTCATTCGGGTTTTTTTCAGAGCCTGTTTGTGTAGCATAAGGTGGACTGCGCAGGAGAGATTCCCCATGGGCAGCAGGGGAACTTATTGGCACTTGTGGTCTGAATCCTGCCCTTGAACTAGCACCAAAGGGCATTTTTGCTTGCGCCCCAGCCTTCTGGAAAGGTGGATGATGATTGGTGGAAGAATCTACCCCAGGGACTGCAGTGCAGGAGGACAGCCAAAGCGAGAAGGTTTTTGGAAGACCACAGTTATTTCCTTCAGCGTGACCTTCGCCCAGTACTGGGCCCTGATTCTCCTGCAGGCTGAGCAATGCCAGCAGAGCCTGAATGTCAGCTTTTGTGCTGGCTGTGCGGATGGATGCCCTGTTGCTTGGTCACAGTTGGTCTGCACACTCACTAATCACCACTGCTCTGATTCCTGCAGCATTACCAAGGCTATGCACAGCTAAACAACTGATGCCATTTAGTGGCTTTTCCTACAGAGTGCTCAGGCCTGCCTTCACCACTATGGCTTGCCAAAGGGCTCAAACACTTGCATTGCTGTGATGCAGACCCTGTAATAATAGTTGGTTACATTCAGAGAATTCAGTTCAGATTTTAAAACCTCATCAAATAGTTAATGACTGACTATTTCAACACAGCAGTTCCTGCAAGACTTGGGAGAGAAGAGAGAGAGGGAGATGGAAAAGTTATTCATGTCCCATCTGTCTGGAATGCTTGTCCCCTCCCTCCCACCCACTGAGTCACTTCCTCCCTTTATATCTCACTTAAAATTTTTCCTTTCCCCTTTAGCTTATGATTAACAGGCACTCACCCTCTGCAAATTGTTTCTTTTCTTTTGATGCAATGTTAGTTAAGGTTCTATGGATAAACATAGTGTATTGTCTGGTAAATGCTTGTATATACATGCATATACATGTATATACACATTACACACTACATATATGGCCATGTAAATGGGTATGTCAACCACTGCAGTATCCAGATGGTGATCCAGCCTTCCAAACTGAACCAAGGCACTAGTAATGTATTGCCATGGTTATTTTGTCCTACTGCCCGAAACACAGTGGAAAGGTCTGCAGGCAGAAGCACATGCCTTGAACTGTGAGGTAAAGGTGGTTTAGGGCAGCAGCTACCAGCCCAGAGCAGGGTTCACTCAGCTCCAAGATCTAACCTGGGTAGGTGTGTGGAATGGGGCCACCTGCTTAAATGCCTCAAGGTGTGTTTCGTGAGGGGGTTTAACTGGCTCAGCCTACTGCTTTCCTGCCAGGGTCAAGAGGGCTTTTTTTCAAGTAGCAGACAGTGAAGGAGTCTGGAGGAGACTGTCATGTACAGTAAAAGAAAGAGGTGGTCTCGGGTAAGGAGCCTGTGGTTATGTGCTGACCTGGCAGAGTAAGCAGGGAAGAGTGGGCTACCTACAGCAATTTGATAGAGGAGCAGGAATGGCTGCAGAAGAGGAACGTGCTGGTGCGTTCATCCTGGAAGTAGTCAGGGTAAGGAGGAAGAGTCTGGATGCTTCCTGAGCAAGTGCGTGAGGTGGTGGTGAGTTTGTAAGCTGTGGAGTAGGTGAAGGTTAGGAAGGGAAAGCTTGAATCTCCTTGATTTGAGTTACCTGAAGTTTCCAAGTGAAGGGGAAGAATGTGAGGCCCTATGTTATGTACTGCAAAAACCTCGTATGTGTTCTACCTGCTTCAGCTTTTTTGCACATGGCTCAAAGGTGGAATGTTTCATGTACCTGGGACCTGTACTGCGGTGGTGTGGGAAAGTTTTGTTCTTCAGGGATGTTAGGTCAATGCTACTTGGCGAAAAGAAGTAAAAATTGTTTTAAAGCCTAACACTTGAGCAGTTATATGTGATTGGGGGAATTCCCATCCCAGATGGCATCAGCATTGCTGTGTTCACCTACAAGATGCTGCTCTCTTTTGTAATCTTTTGTAACAAGATCCCACCAGCTTTTCTGTTTCCCATCAGCTGGTCATAAGCTGATGAGTGGTGCAATAACCTATGTAGTACATCCACTCTGGGATGCATTGAAGGCTGGGGTACAGATGTGTTACAGAGCCTCCGCAGAGAGCCAGCTTGGCTCCTGATGGAGGCTTTAACTGTGTGCTGGATCTGCAGAGTCCTGGTCTGGCTCTGCAGAGCCTTACAGTTTCAGAACCTCACTGCAGGGGTGCCTGGGGTGCATCTGTGCTGGGCTGGCACTGATCCATTAGTGTATTTTTTTGGCTCTGACTCTGTCCAGAGAAAGTAGCTGTCCTGTTACCAAACCTGGAGCTGGGACTGGGCTCATGAGCCATGGCCAGGCCTCTGAATATTTGGTATCTGAGAAATGTCTTCATCTTGTATACATGCGTAACGGTGCAGGTGGGCTGAGACAGATCCAGGGACTGAGAGTGTGACTGTACTTGCTGTAAATTCACAAATCACGGACCTGTGTGCACTGAACTCCACCAGTTTCCCTTAAAAAGCAGGGCTGGGAAGTAATACATGGGTCTTGTGGTTTTATGACACCTAATAGGAGATCATAAAATGGCCATTGAATTTTATTGCATTTGTGGGAGAGCTGATGAGTCCAAGGATGGTGTGCTGTGTTACTGGAAGTCGAATAACCACTGGTGCTGATGTTGCTGAACAGCTTTTTGACGGGAGGTTTGTTAGTTTATTCTCCCATGCCTCGGCTCTGATGATTAGCTATGCATTCTAGCTAGCATTTAGAGGTTTCCTCTTCCAGCTTATTTTTTGGAAACAACTTAACACATATGCATGTGGGAACAGCATAGCTACCCATGTATAATGTGTGGGCAGCATGTATGGGCAACCTTTGGAAATAAGACAGTAGCCTCAGTTGGTTATTCCCCTGAGAGATGTTAATTATTAACTCTGAAAAGTAATTCTTCTACCTGTTCTACATAAACTTTCATAGCTATATGCAGCAGCAAGATATCTTTAGGTAGTGAATGGCTTGCAAAAAGCCAAGCTCTTTAATGTTACTGTGCAGATAGATTTGGCTGCTGGAGAACTACTTCAGCCTAAGATTTTAGTTCTGCCAGCTGGCAGAAGTGATCATATATGTAAAACCTTAAGCTGAGCCAGAAAAACCTGAGTTCAAATCTCTTGCCAGGGATTGTAGGATAGAATGATTAACCTGATTTTGTATTTTTGGATAACTATCAAGTGCCCGAATATTTATAGTAATAAATGTCTTCCATATGTGCTGATACTGCATCCATGGAGTGCAATAGCATGATACAGTTATTGTCTTACTTGAAGACACTAATTATAGCTAATCCTATAGGCACATGAATCATGAAACACTGGCCCAATTTCTGCCAGCTTCTGTGAGATGCATCTGACTTTGCTCATGTGAGCAATGCAGGTCAGCAGAGAGCTCAAGGCAAAATTCCAAGAGTGCTGAGGATCCTGAGTTCCCTTTTCAGAAGAGAGAGAGGCACTTGCTATTTAAGCATTTAAAGCTGCAGGTGGGCGCTTTACAAGCTTGAACCTTCTAAGTCTTACTGGTAGGTGTCTGGTGTATCTTGAAGTGTCAAGATGCCACTGAAAATACAGTCTTGAACCTACAAGCCATTGTCATGTAGCCCTGTGATCCTCCAAGTGAAAACTGGCAGGGGGCACCTAAGTTTCTAAATTCATTTGGTGCCTGCTAGACTGGTGCAATAGCCATGCTTGGAGCAATGCTGGTGCCTGTTGAGCTGACATGGCACAGTACTGAGGGTGCTCAGCTACTGCAGAGATAGAGCTTCTCCAGGGATGTGGTGGCTTACCAGGTCAAGCTCTTAAATACACCTTAATGTAATAAAACCTCTTCAGTTCATGACTGTAGAGCTACTCTCCAGTTGGTTAGAAAAAGTAACAGAGGAACTGTATGAAGGTTTTAATGTTGTAATAAGTTGGCTATAAAAACAGAGAAAGAGAGACTAAACCAATGTTCCAGTAGTTTTCCCTTGAAATAGAGGTAAGCCCGCCCAGACGTCTTCCTTTTAAATACTGACTACTGCATCTGTTTTAAACCAAAAATAATACCTTTTGATTGGAAATGTTTCAATAACATTATTTGTGCATTTTATTGAGGCAGAGGTTGCAATTATTAGAGTCACCAGGAATTTCAGACATTTAAACACAGCCTTTATTTCTCCAGAGTAAACCACATCCCTGTGCAATTATTCTTCTATCTAAATGCCTTCAAACCAAGTCCTAAACCAGATCTGACATTTTTTTTGCTGGTGGTCCGTCTTACAAATCAGCCCTTGAAAGGAACATGCGGGGCTAAGCAAACACCGAAGAGGTTGGACTGGTCCCTGAGGATGCTGAAGAAGGCAGAGCTGGTGCAGGATGCAGCGTGCAGTCCTGGGTAAATCCTGTGGCTCTGAGCTGTCAGTCTGGCCAGGTACTGTAGTCTGGGCCCCTCAGACTTTAAAAGAATAAGGAGAAGGGTTTGTCTGGTCATGGAAACTGCTCCTTTCAACCATGTGATCTCTTTACGGTTTTTCTTTCAGCCGGCTTTGCACCAGGAAGCAAACAATTGCATCTGTGGCAGAGAAGGGACTTGGCTCAGCAGCCAGAATGTCCCCCCAGCATGCTCTGAATGTTGCCCCCTAATCTTTTCAGCAAAGGGTTTTTGACATTTAATTAAAAAACTGAGACTTCTAAAGGGCCTCTAAGGCCTGAATCCCCTGTGTTTTCTGGCATCTCTACATCCTGTATCGGTATCACAGGAGCTAGGCATTTGAGCACTTTCATTTTCAGTTTCTTGATGCTTCCAGCACAGCATAAATAAGAATTTGGATCTAAAAGTCCATTAAGATTTTGGTATCAATGAGAACAACAAACTTGAAGCCAAAGGAGGTGTCCCAGCTTTGGACAGAAGGAGGTGAGAGTTTGTTTAGGAGGCGACTTGAGACAGCAGTAGATAAAAGAGGAATCCTCCTCACCTGGCCAAGGAAGTTTTGGCATCTGCCTGTTGAAATATCTGGCAAGTGCCTGCTGGCTTGGAGAGAAGAGAATTAGGTTCATGTTGGAGTGCAAGGATGACAATCATGACTTCTGTCCTCTGCTGTCCGTATCATCTGGATGTGTTTTCCCACACATACTCCATAAGAAAAGATATTGAGAAACCTGAATGATGTGTCATGATGCCAGGATGCTGTTGCCATTTTGCTCAGAGAGCCTTATTCCATACCACTTTGATGCTGGTTGTGTGCTTCTTCAGGGTCTGGGCTTTCATGACTTTATCTGAAGTGTGTGTCCTCTCCTTTTCCCCAGGGTAGCAGCATATTGACTGCTTTCCCCACAAACACCTGTAAAACCTCCACACTCCCAGGAGAAACATTCTTATTTAGTCTTCTGATGATGGTGAACTTGCAGTAACGAAAGAACAGAGCAAAATACAGAGCTCTTACTCTAGTGAAAAAAGGTGGCACTCAAGCTGTTGCTCATCTAAGGGCAAGCAGGTTCCTGGCAAGAGCATGTGTATACCAATGCTTTATAGCAGGCCAGGTCTTGAGTGCACTGTCAATTAAGGGCAGCAATTCAAAGTGATTCACAGCAGATTACACCAGCTTGTCTCTTCATGGAGCACACTGGTCCTGAGCCTGCAGGTGCTGCACAGACTGCCAAGCCTGGAGCTAGCCTGCAGTTATGCTGTCAGCCTTGCTTAGATCTAATGCTTTATGACAACTGTCTACCTGTAATGTGATAATGGGCTCAAAACCTCTGCAAAATTGATAGGGTCTCTCGCAAAGAAGGAGACACTTCTAATGTGGCAGTCCTTATCCCTTTCTGAAAGTCCACGTGAACTGCAAATTTCTTTGCAGAACTGGGAGGCATGGTTCTGCAGCCCCTGACAAGGGGGCTGGTTGTGTTGGTGTCTGTGAGGCTGCTGGCCTCCTACTTTCCCCCACTGCAGAGGGAAACACCCTGTTGCATTTTCAGACACTCTAGATCTGTTGTAAACTCTTAAACCTAAGATACTGTTGGCTTCTACTTCTTAGGGCTTCTTGCGTACTCTGTACTTTTCATTTTCTGGATAAAATCATCTTCTAGCTTCAAGATGTTTCGTTTATACAATGAGTTGGTTATATTTAATTCCTAAAATGAGTCACTGTCTAGAATGATTAACAGGTAGTGTTCTAAAAGAAATTATGCTGAATATTGTGTAACACAGCCTGTACAGAAGGGACCAGATTCCTACCCACCTTATATTGGTGTGATCCAGGAATAGCACCATTGACTTTGTGTTAGATCAGTGTTAAGAGGGAGTTGGGCCTAAAATATCCTGATGTAGTTTCAGACCCTCCAGATTTGCTGTTCGGAGAGGTTGCAGCCATGGGAAGGGTGATCTCCCTTGCTATGGAGAGGCCTAGGTATGGTCCCTGTTCATAAACACAAGATAAAGCCCCTTTTCCCCACACTCCCTAACACTATTGATGGTACAGTGTTATCACCATCTTGGCCTATCACCATCCTGGCACAG